AAAAAAAGTTTGAATCACTATACTTGAGGATTATCTGTCACAATGTTAATTTGAAGACAATTGAATGAGAAGCTTTGTGAAAGGAAAGTACTTTTTGCATTACATTGAGTGAACGTTAGGCAAAATTTAGAGAAATTCAAGAATACGGAGTTTAATATCAATTGTTTGCCCATAGTTTCATTAAACCTGATAATCTTCAGAAGAAATTCGTCCTAAACCACTTGATCCAAAATACTGCAGCAACTGTATTTCTTCTTTACATATACGTTCAATTTACTCGAATTATATTTGTTTGAATATCGCATTTATATTCATTTGAATGCACGATCTTCGAGAAGTTGTTGCAGAAAATTGCTGATTAATCTGGAAATTGATTAAAATTGATTTATCTGGAAAATGTAAAACCGTAAAAACGACGACAACGAGGAAGCATAATCTCTCGTATAGGAATTCCGACTTTCGCAAAACTTAACGAAAATAATTAGTTTTATAGAGTCGCGACGAATTACTCAATACTTCATCGCGTTACGTAAAAAGCTGTAAGCGATTCCAGTTACATTACATAGTATGAAGAGCAGTGTAGTTATAATCAGGCGTTGTAGATATCGGTAGCAAACGTCATTTAGAATTGGACATCTCATTGTGTACACAATCGAGAATGAATCACGTCTACGTAATAACAACGTTGACAACATTGCTTCCAATCGTTCGATGGATTTTCTCAAAATTTTTCACCGTCACGTTAAATTACGCGAATCTTTTTGATTCACAGTCTAATGTATAAGCATCATTCCCCTCACTGAAGAAAACAATTCATCGTTCTAATTTGTTGGATTGCCTTTAGTCCTGTATGATTGTTCAAAGAAATAATGAAATCGAGTAGTCGAGTCGAAAGTACAAATTATCAACGTTATGGAATTTTTTGAAATTTATGTATGTATGTATTTCGAATAATATATTTATTTGAATGAATAACGTAGAAAACATCGATGAAAATGCGTCTCTTCCCAATCAAATTTCCCTTTTAGTATCTTCGTTTTATTAGAAAAAGTGAATGAAGTATTAATAATGCTTCAAGAAAAGGGAGACTGCTTCGCGAGTTATCTGAGTAACGCAATAATGTTTTCAGGCACATTAATTCATTTCCCCTAGTAGAGTCGTCCTCATCAATGTTTCAAAATGGATTTGAAACGAAATTGACATAATTAAAGCGAAACTTTCTTTTTATACAAAGAGGATATACACAAGTATCTATATTTATACAAATATATTTATATTTATAATATATCTATATCTATGTCTTAATTTATCTATATCTTAGAATATTATTAATATATCTATATTTATACAAATATATTTATATTTATAATATATCTATATCTATAT